AATAGAGATGGAATGGATACATTTCTAGGAAAATATCAACGACTAACGTGGGCTGAAAAAAAAACCTTGAGCAGAACCGGAAGTGCAGAAATTGAGAGCGTCCCCGGCTGCCCTCAGTGCACGGGGCCGGTCGCCCGCCCGGCCCAGGGAGGTTGTCCTAAAGCTGCGCTGGGCCGGGCCGGTGTGGGACCTGCCCCGTGTGGAAGGAGGACGCGAGTGCCTAAGGAATCTACCAGCAGGTTGAATCGAGCAATGTGCACGGTACCTTGTTTTTTTTAATTAATTCATTTATTTTTAGAAGGAGAGGAAGGGACAGAGAAAGAGAGGGAGAGACATTGATGTGTGAGAGATGCATTGATGGGTTGCCTCTCGCACGACCCCAGCTGGGGACCTGGCCCACAGCCCAGGCATGTGCCCTGACTGGGGATCAAACCAGCGACCTTTCTCTCGTCAGGCTGACACACAACCCACTGAGCTGCAGCAGCCAGGGCGGATATTAATTTTTTTAAGCCACCCAGCATCATTCTCAATGCCAGGAGACTGGATGCTTTCCCCCTAAGACGGATGACAAGGGTCGAGTGGCTGTGCAGTAGCCCACTGAGAGTCTCGGTGCAGGGAGAAGAGACAGACGCGGGCCCTGGGCAGGGGACTCCTAGCAGGACGGACAAAGCCAAGGAGAGAGAAGACTCGAATTTCTGGCGTCGGGAATGAAAGGGGCCGTGACCACGGACCCCTCAGACGTCAGACGGTTCGTGAGGGAGTTGCCTCGGACCTCGCTCTGTACACGAATGTGACGATTTAGATGAAATGGACCAGTTCCTCACGACACACACACAATCGCCCTGACTGGCGTGGCTCAGTGGGTTGGGCATCACCCCGCAAACCCAAAGGTCACGGCTCCATTCCTGGTTAGAGCATGTGCCTGGGTGGCGGGCGCGTCCCCAGCTGGGGCCGTGCGAGAGGCAACCGATTCATGTTTCTCTCTCACACTGATGTTTCTTTTCCTCTCTTTCTTCCTCCCTTCACCTCTTTCTGCAAATGAATAAAACAAAATCTTTAAAAAAGTACAAATGACCACAACTCATCCAAAATGAACTAGATAATTTGAAGAGCTCTACAAGTATTTAAAGAATTTAATTTCTAATTTTATTTTTTTCTTTTCTTTAAAAAAAAATTTTTTTAAACCCTGGCTGGTGTAGCTCAGTGGATTGAGCATGGGCATGTGAAGCAAAGGGTTGCCAGTTCGATTCCCAGTCAGGGCACATGCCTGAGTTGCAGGCCAGGTCCCCAGTAGGGGGCACACGAGAGACAACCACACACTGATGTTTCTCTCCCACTCTTTCTCCTTCCCTTCCCCTCTCTCTAAAAATAAATAAATAAAATATTTTTAAAAACTTTTTTAGAGAGAGGGGAAGGAAAGAGGAAAGAGAGGGAGAGGCACATCAATGTGCGGTTGCCTCTCTAGCACCCCCTACTGGAGACCTGGCCCGCAGCCCAGGCCTGTGCCCCAGCCAGGGATCCAACCGGTGACCCCCCCAGTTCTCAGGCCAGCACTCACTCTACTGAGCCACATCAGCCGGGGCTGAATTTCTAATTTTAAAACTCCACAGAAAGCCATTTCCAGGCCCAGATAGTTTCATAGGAGAACCACGCCAGACGTTTAAAGAAGAAATGTTAACACAAAAAACAGAAGAGGAGGGAACCTTCCCACTCGTTTTATGAAGCTAATATTACTGGTTCCAAAACCATCCGAAGGTTTTTTAAAAGACTGATATTCCTCCTTCACGGAGACACAGTATCCGTAACGAAATATCAGCAAAGATTTTAGTGGTACATGAAAGAAACGGACCATGACCAGCAGGGCTTGTGCCAGGGAGGCAGGCGGTTCAGCTGGGCCCTAGGAAAGCAGCCCCTGGTCCCCACTGCGGGGTCAGGCTCACAGAGGAAAATCGGGTGAGCCTGTCCGCCAATGCGGAAAAAGCGTTCGACCAAACTCAACGCCCACGAGCGATCAAATAAAAACTCAGAAAAACAGGGATCGGGGGGCTCCTCGACTCGATAAGAGCACCCACAAGCCCTTAGAATTCCCATTGGACTCAGTGGGGGCAGGGATGCTCTGCCAGTGACCGATGGCGGCAACCAGGGACTCGGCAAGGATGTCCGCTCTCACCCCTCCTCTGGAAGTTGCCCCCGGGGCAGCCAGGTGAGGAGAGTGACAACAGGCACAGGATCTCAAAGGCAGAAGCAAAGGATCTCTTTTGGCAGATGGCACGATTGTCTGTGTGGAGAACCCCAAGGAATCTACAAAAAAACCCCAAAACTAGAACGAATGTGTAAGTTCACTAAGGCAGCAGGATCCAGGATAAACGTACAAAACTCAGTTGCATTTCCACCTACTAGTAATAAATGCATGAACACTGGAATTAAAAATACAGCTTATAATCACTCAAAAAAAACCCTGGAGGACTTGGGCGGAATGCTAAGGGTTCACGGGCAGCGTCTGTGTGCTGAAGACTGCACGGTGCTGATAAAAAGCAAAATCCAGGACCTGAACGGGGGGGGGGGAGACTTACAGCGCACGCCGACCGCGCAAGACCGCAACGAAGAAACGCCGATTCTGCTCTCACCGGCACCCACGGTCAGTGCCATTCCTATCGAAATGCCAGCAAGGGCTCCGCCGACCCAGGTGAGACCACCCTGACACTTACACGGAAGGCAACAGAACCAGAGCAGCTACGATGACTTACAAAATCACTGTACGGCCCGAGGAACCGGCCTACCAGATTTCGAGTCCTGCTCTGCATCTTGTTGCGAGGTCGTGGAGAAGCTGCCGTCTTTACGGAGGCGAGACCCAGAAATGGACTCGCACCGATGGGACCGACTGACTGTCGCGCTGTTCGTTGCCCGGAGGGCGTGTCCCTCACTTGTACACAAGAGCTCTGGCTCGCCTGCCGAGCTCAGCACCCCACCCCGGGGCCAGCCCCTCTGTGGCCAGGCAGGCTCCTAGCAAACCGAGGCCGCTCCGTCTGTGGGCCCCTCCCAGGAGGGAGTCTCTCGTCCCCACAGCCCAGCACCGCTCAGCCGAGGCTGTGGCACCTCGCAGGCTGAGTCCTACAGACCCATTCCCACCTCGTTATGGAAGCCGTGCCCACAAAAACTCTGCAGCTGAGCATCTCGGCTGGGGGTGGGAGCCGTGACGGGAATGTCCCACTCCAGGCGCCTGTGCCCCTTAGACCACCCTGGTGCCGTCCTTCTGTCTTGGGGAAAAAAATCAGGCCTATTCTGTGCCTTAGATGCTGCAGCTCCTGAGTCCGGAGCTAGGGGCCACCTTGGTCCCAGGCTCCAGTGGCCGTGGACCTGCCACAGATGATGGCTCAGCTGCCAGGGTGGACTCTGCCCCGTCACCCTGTGACGGGTGCCCTCACTTTCTCCGTCACCCGTCGGAGGAATCAGCGACTCATTGGAAGCACTGGACACCCGCAAGATGCTGGGGTTGCTGAGAGGGAAGCTCATACTGAATCAATACTTTTTAAAAAAAGATTTTATTTATTTTATTTTTAGAGAGGGGAAGGGAGAGAAAAAGAGGGGGAGAGAAACATTGATTGGTTGCCTGCTGTAGGCCCCCTTACTGGGAATCAAACCCACGACGCAGGCACATGCCCTGACCAGGAATTGAACCTGTGACGCTTTACTTAGTGAGCTGAGGCCCAACCAACGGAGCCACATGGGCCAGGGCCCGAACCAATGCTTTTGAACTGAAAGGAAAGCGTCAGGTGACAGCTGAGTGGACCAGTTGCTCTCGTGGGTGGTCCTGATTTGAGTCCAATACGTGTCCCCACGTGTCCCTGCAGAAGGAAAAGGCACCAGCTGCTCCCACAGCGACGGGTGTTGACAGCCCAGGATGGCCGCTGGGTGGACCTGGAGTCCTCCAGGGCAGGGCCACATCAGGATAAAAGGCCCAAAGGTACAGAGACATCATCAGGGAAACGCAGCCACGGGCTCAGCCAGTCCACTGTCTCCTGTCTGCATCTTACCCCGGGAACCTGGGGCTGTGGGCACCGCTCAGCTCCCGTCCTAAAGGGCTGTGTGAACTTCTGCACGTGAGTCTCATTAGTGTCCTTGGGTGACCCCCACAGAGGGGGTGGGGCGCTTGCTCTCCGGGCCATGAGGATGCGCCAGATGTGCATTTAACTCATCAAGAGCCTTCCAAGCTGGCCCCCGACATCGCAGTGCCTGCGCTGGGTCCCCAAGGCTGGGCAATCAAGGGGCCAGCCAGTGTGAGCCCCAAAGGGAGAGCCAGGCTCAGAGTCTCGCAGCCCAGGCCCCCACCGACCCCTCCGCCACGCCTGCCATGCCTGTGCTCCCACCAGGACCCCCTGCCGAGACCCTCCGATGCTGGACCCCTTCCTGGGCCAAGGAAGGCCCGGAGTGAGGTGGGGCTGCCACCTGACCGTCCGCAGGGACACCCCCTTGGTGACGGGCCCCAGCAAGAGAGCTGCGTCCCGGCTGAGAGAGCGGGAGACATTTCCGGGAGCCACTCTCCCTGTAGCTGCGTGTGAGGGTGGTCCCAGCAAGGCAGGGCCAGATGGCACCTGGACCTGGGACACAGGTGGGTGCAGTGATGACCAGCAAGCCTGTCCTGTTGGAGTGGCTGACCATCCCAGGGGCTCCCAGGGCAAGAAGGTGGCGACCGCAGGAAAGGGCCCTGGGTCGCCTGCATCCTGACCCCTCCCCCACTGCAGGGGGGAGGGGGATGGGAGCTCCCAGGAGGAGCAATGGCTGGGAGGCGGGCGGTGAGTCTGCCAGACGGGCAGACATACCTGAATCCTCCCCCCTCCTCCCACTCTCCCGGGACAGACGCGCAATGTGGCCAAACTGCCCTGACAGCACTCACCCCCCACCTCACCCCAGCGACACCCTGCACCTTTAGACGCAGACGGGTGGTGCCACTCCCACGGGTGTGATTCTGGAACCTCCAGGGAGTCCGGGCTGGACGAGGGGCCGCCGGAGGACGTGTGCGAAGATAAGGCACCGGCTGCCCGGCCTTTGCTCCTGCTGGCCCCTGCGGCCATGGCCCCCGAGGGAGGGACCCTCCTGCTGGTCACCCTGAGCCTGGGCCTGGCCAGCACCCAGCAGACTCTGGAGGAGGTGCCCGTGCAGCCAGACTTTGAAGCCCGGAAGGTAACTGTGCTGGCCCGGGGGCCAGACTGGCCTTGGCCCAAGGACGTGGGTGCCAGTCTCCCAGAACCTCGCTCAGGGGGTCGGTGGGCAGGACACAAGGGACGGAGGTGGGCGAGGGTGCCGGGCACTGAAGGCCTGAGAGAAGAGTGTTCACGGGAAGGAGGCTGACCACTGCCCCTGCCCTGGCCGGCGGCCCACGGGCCTTCGCCCCTCCCCCGGGGGTTCGTGACCCCCTCAGGACTCATCACTGGGGAGAGGCCTGACAGCCAAGGCTGCAGGCTCCGGCAGCCGCCCACCCCAAGCCTGCCCCTGCAGGTGGAGGGACGCTGGCTCACCGCCCGGCTGGCTGCCAGCCACACACGCCTGGTCTCCCCCGAGGACCCCTTGAGACTGGCCCTCCATTCCATTGGGACCCGGGACCAGGACCTGGAGTTCGTCTTGTTCTGGATGTAAGCGTGGACCCCGCAGGTCCTGGCAGGGTGCTCAGGCACAGGGGCCTCCCAAGGGACAGTGACAGTGGTTAGAACAGAGGACACAAGTCACTGAGCTGGGGGGCTCGAGATGCTGAAGGGTGGGCGGGAAAGATGCACACCCAGCCACCCAGCAGTCCTCACAGAAGACCCCAGGCAGGGCTGGGGGCCGGGGGCCGAAGGCGTGGTCAGTGCACAGCGCCCAGGTGGTTGGGGACACCAGTCCTGGGTCTCCACCCCGAGACCTGAAGCTCCGACGTAGGGGAAACTGGATCCCACCCTCCTGGGAGGTCTGGCTCCGCCCCAGACAGGCACCCTGCCCCTCACTGCAGCCCCGCAGCCCCTCCCAGCCCCGTGGACCCGCTGTGCTGTTCCGGCTGGTGGCCCTCCAGAGCCCAGGCGAGCCTAGAGCCTCAGGGGGTACCAGGGACCTCAGCGGGGCAGAGTGGGGGCCGGGGCGCAGGGACAGGCGGGGGGCAACCCCGTGTCAGCTCCTCTCTCTCTCCCCAGGGGAGGGGGGGTGTGTAAAGGGGTCAACATCACTGTCCACCCGACGGGACTCCAAGGCCAGTACCATGGCGCCTGTAAGTAGCCCCGCCCTTGGCCCGGGTCTCACGCTGGGAGGAGGGGATGCCTGAAATTGGCCGTGGGGGCAGGCTGGGCCTGAGGGTGGAGGAGAGAGGCGTCACCTGTCACCGACCCGGGGTCTGTCCCCCACAGTTGAGAGAGGCGGCAGCATCCTCGTCCGCTTCGTTGGCACCGACTACAGCAGCCTCATTCTTTACGTCCGCTTCCAGGACGGCGGCGGCGAGGTCACCAGCCTGTGGGCGCTGCTGGGTAGGTGGTGGTTCTCCCCAGCACTGCGCCCTCCGGAGTCTGCCCAAGGCCTGTGTTTAGTGCCCCGTGTTTCGGGGGTGGGGAGGGCTTTGGCCCGCGGGGGCCCTCTCAGTGCTGCGCCTGCATGCCCCTCAGCCACCCTGGCCCCACGTGCCCAGCCATCCACCCTCTCACACACCCCTCACCTCCTCCTCTCCATCCCACCTGCGCTGCCTGCAGGGCGTGTCCTGGGAGTTGGCTTCCCCAGGACAGATCAGGAAAAGCTCCGCCCCTCCTCCAGCCGTGGACTTAGCAGTCACTCAGTCACTTGGGGAGGGAGGAGGCACGTGGTTCTGAGAGCAGACGGAGGTGTGGGAGGGGCCAGGGCACGTCCGAGACAGGGTGGGGCCTCATCACCGGTCTCGCAGGCTGGGGAGGGTCATGGGGTTAGGTGGGGCTGCTGGGTCACACAGCAGCTGCGCTGTGAGCAGCGGGACCCTCTGGTTGTCCTTGACAAGGGAAGAGGGCCTGACCGGCCCCTTCCAGAAGTGCTGAGCCTGCTCTGCTTCTTGAGGACATGGGGCAGGTGGGGGACGAGGGCTGCGACCAGGGCACCAATCTGGCTGGTGGGCAGTGGGCTTGAGCCTGACTGAGAGCTGGGAGGAGGGGCCCCTTGCCACCAGCCCCTCTGATTTCAGCCAGAAGAGTGCCCGGGGACCCCAAGTGGCTGGGGAAATACCTGGAGTATGTCAGGAAATTCCAGCTACAAGAAGCACCTGTCTTCAACCTGGATGGTGAGCGCCGCCCCGCCCCTACCCTACATCCGGCCTGCTGGTGGGGTCTGGAGCCTCACCTTCTGGGCCTGGAAGCCCACTGGTGACACCAGCCATGGGAACAGAACCGTTGGAAATGCCTCCACAGCGCCCAGTGTGGTCAGGCCTGTGCTGGGCACCTAGCCACCTGAGTTCGTGGTCCCCTGAAATGTGGTAACTTGGGCACCAGCGTGTCTCCCTTTGTGGATGTGGACACCAAGGCGCTGAGAAGTTCAGAGACAAGGCCAAGGTCACACAGCCGGGAGCAGGAGTTGGGGGGTGACCCCTTTTCCCTGCATATTCTCCCTTGGGGAACATTTAGTCGGTCAACAAGCACAGGGGCCAGGCACTGCTATGGAGCGTGGGATGCCTGGGGAACAAGGCAGACACATTCTCCAGCCCCTGTTTAGGCCCCACGGGGACACTGATTCCCCGACATCATTACCCTGTCGAGTGCTCGTGGGCGGGGTGGGGGACCAGGCTGTGTGGCAGGGCGGGAGGCGGGCGGAGGGCAGGCGGGGCAGGCTGCCTGGAGGCAGAACTCGTGGGCTTGCAGCAGGAGCAAAAGGTCTTGGGGGCCATTGAGAGGGCATGGGGGGCTGTGACAGGACGGGCTGCCACCGGGGTGCTGGACAGCAGCCGGCAGGGTCACCCCAGGGAAGACGCTGGTTGTGCCCTGTGTGCGCGACCCACTGATGGGTGCATGGATTGCTTTCAAAATGAGCAGACAACCTTGGAATCCCACCTGTTCTTTTCTCTCCACAGCCCAGTGTCCCCCACCTGATGCCTAGGTCAGGGCCATCCCTGCGGCTCCTGTGTCTCTCTCACCTGAGCACATGCCTTTCGACCCCTCTGCTTCCCGAGGAGACCTTCCCGCCTGGGCCCGCACCACCCTCGTTGCCCCCCCTTGCTGTGGTCACCAGGCCTGCCAACCCATGATTGAGGGGCCCACGGGCTGGAGAACACTGGGTTGTGAGGACAGGCAGGTGGCCTGGAGCACAGCGCCACAGTCCAGCGGGCAAGCCGTGGTGACCCCGTGAGGGGACAGTGACCCTGTGAGGAGCTAGGCTGGCACTCTTCTGACCTGCCTCACCCAGGTCCTGCCCTGGGACAGTCCCTGCCTGGGTCAGAGGGGCACTGAGTGACCGGGCTCCCCAGGCCCGCACACCTGCATGCAGGTGAGCTGAGACAGGTCACACCCCCCGACCCCCGAGAGTCGACCCCCGAGAGGCGGTGCTGGATGGAGGGTGCCCATCTCTGCTGGGGAACCGGGGCCACCGGCCGGCCGGGCAGGCTCAGGAAACTGGGTCGGGGCCTCCACACTGCAGTCTGGAAGCACCGGGGAGACAGGTACAACCAGCTTCTGCCCCGGGCACGCCCTCCGCACCCAGGGCCAGGCTCCCCGGTCGAGGGGCGGCATCTGCACCTGGGCAGGGCGGCGAGGAGCGGCTGCTCCCTGCACGGCAGCTCCCTCCAGGCCCTCAACCCCCGAGAGGACAAGCGTAAGGGACACGTGCTCATACGATTAGCTTGAAACCTGCGGACCTTGTGTGGACAAAGTGTTAGACAGCCTTGCTCTGGGACGCGGAAGAACGCGACGTGGGAACAGATCTGGGGCACTCCTGCGGAGCCGTGTGCAACTTAAATATTAACAATCCTTGCGTTCACCTGCACATTGAAGCATCCGACCAATATTAAACGCGACGTTTCCCCCAACTGCACACCTGAACCTCAGCTCCCTGCCAAGAAATAAACGTTTTGAAGCGTTTTAGACCGTAGTCATTCGAAAGCATTCGTGGTGGGCACTAGGCGGGCGTGGGCAGAGCAGAGGCTGTGGGCTGGGTGCGGGGGTCATTGGGCAGGAGTCCCGGGTGCCCAGCAACAGGCAAAACCATGAAGCCAAGCAGGACCATGTCCCCAGGCGGTGGCCCTCGAGAGGACGTCTGGGCCTCAGCTGGGCTTCAGCTCCAGGCCCAGAGAAGCGGCAGAGCCAGGTGAAGGGGCACCAGGGCTGCCGCAGGGCCAGCTGCGAAGGCCAGGGACCCCCTGCCCAGTGCTGACCAATCAGTGGAGACCAGACCCTGTGGAGACCAGACCCTGAGGAGACAGGGGCTGAGGGAGTTGTGCGGTTCGGGGAAGCTGATGAATGTTCATTGGGTCCTCCAGATACCAGCCCACCCAACGCCCCCCCCCCACTCCTTCCTTTCCCATGCAGTCTCTCTCTCTGAGCATGCTCAGACTTCTCCTCCCTCTTTCATCCCTCCCAAGCCTGCTGTCTCTCTCCCACTCGCGTCCTGAGCCCATCTCTTCCACTCACTTCCTCTACCTCTGTGACTTTCTGAGTAAACATTTGCTTACAGCCTGAGTCTCAGCTCTGAGTTCTTTCTTAGCCAGAACTCAAATTCCGAGGGTGCCGAACTCAGGTCCAGTCCGACTCCAGTTGCGGGCAATGTCCTGGGGCCATCTTCGCCACTAACAGATCTGCCACTCCAACAACCAGCATCGAATGGCAGGGGCTAAAATTGTGCGGCGTCAGCTCGGGGACAGAGAGGAAGGCCTCGGACATTAGACAGCAAGGCAAGAAATGAATGCAAGTCACGATGTAAGTTATCCCCTCTCTTACAAAGTCACTGTCCCCATTGGACTGGGGCCTACCCTACTGACCTCATTTCACCTCTATACATACTCCACCTCCAAAGGCAGCCCCATTCTGAGGTTCTGGGGGCTTAGGGCTTCCACATACGAATTTGGGGGACACATCAGGCCATACCCTTACTCAGCTTTTTCACACCATCAAAGAGGGTTAAGAAGAGCACCATACTGTGACTTTGGACCCTTCAGCCTCTTAAGGACTCTGGAACCCCTCACTGTCCTGAGCCACCACAGTGCTCTGGGCTGCCCACGTCTTTGTCACTTCGAGAACTTTTGAACTTTCAAAAGAAGTGCCACTCTGTCTCCCCTCCCTGGGGAAACCTGGCAGCTTGAGAACATAGTTCCACTCTTAAGGGTTTCCTATCCCTTATGGCCTCTCCAGTGGACCTCCACAGAGCTCTGTGCATGGCTCTCATTAAAAACATGAATAAAATGCCCTGGCTGGTGTGGCTCAGTGGTTGGAGTGCCTGCTTGTGAACTGAAAGTTCACAGGTTTGATTCCTGGTCAGGGAACATGCCTGTGTTGTAGGCCAGATCCCCAGTAGGGGGCGTATGAGAGGCAAGTGATCAATGTATCTCTCACACATAGATGTTTCTCTCCTCTTTCTTCCTCCCTTCCCCTTTCTCTAAAATAAATAAATAAAATCTCTAGCAAAATAAAGCCATGGATAAAATGTCTATAACTTACAAAGTGAACTTGAAATCAATGTATTTGGCAGAAAGTCCGCCCCATCCGGTCGCAGGGCGAATAGAACAACAGCTGTGGGAGGATTAGACGCAGCAGTGAACAGCCCGAGACTGAGGATACTCCGGGTCAGCCCGTGAGTGTTTATTCCTCCCTTTGTATGTTGTCTTCGGCCCCTGGTACATATACCATACATTTTCTCTGAACCGGAGTCTTTCTACAGGAAAAAAATCATCTTAGGCCTCCAAGATAATTTCCAGGCTACCCACCACTGTGGCTGAACCGCGAAATAATCGCCCTTTTATTCTCTCTCCTGCTTCAGCCAAACTGGGCGGTTGAATATCACGAGGAGGAAAGCTCCTGTTGGCTGGCTGTCTGCGGCCTGTGGGCGGGGCCGGAGGCCTGTGGGCGGGGCCGGCGGTCACAGGCCCCTCTTGGTGAGCTGCAACACCTTGGCGCGCTGCACCTGCAGGGGCTGGGAGAGGGCCTCGGCCCAGCTGTACTCTGGCGACAGCAGCTTGGTGGGTTTGTGCAGGAAATAGTACTTGTTCAGGTGTCTCTCGTAGGTGCTGTTCAGCCCGCGCTTCAGGTCGTGGGCCATGCCTGTCAGATATGCTTCAATCAGGTTTAAGACGTGCGAGGGCGTGCCCCCCACCAAGGCGCCGTCATAAAAGAAGTCCCCCTCTCCAAACGGGATGCAGGCAGCAGACCCGGGCCTCCTCTCGTAGGGGAGAGTCCTTCTGTCTTTAAAGTACCACCAGGGGTGGAGCTGGGCCACGGCCGAGCCCAGGATCTCCGCCCCGACGTCGCTCTGGAAGACCTGGTTCACACTCATACTGAAGAGAAAGTCGACCTCCCCCTGGATGTGACTGAGGATGTATTCACCCAAGTTCTTCATGCGCAAGAGGTTGAAGTCGGGCCACCAGATGTCCTGTCTGATGGTCAAGACCCTGAATGTGTGCAGGGGGACAGGCTGCAGGGGTGGCAGCTGGTACCAGTCGTCCACCATGACGTAGAAGATGACCCGGTGCCCAACCATGAAGTGCTTGTTCGCTGATCGCAAGAAGCGCTCCAGGTACTGGTTGGCAGTCCTGCAAAACACACGCGTGTGGCAAGGAGCTTATTCCCCAGGCACACATAGGTCCTGAGAGAGCCATCGGTGCTCCAGGACACTGGGTGGGTACGGCTGCGGTGGTGGGAGGGGCTGGAGTTTGAGCTGTAGGTGAGTGGAGGAGCCTGTTGTGAGCCGGGCCTGAGAAAAGCTTCCAGAGTTTGAGGACAGCAGCTGGAGGGAGAAACGAGTGCTACGTGGGTGTTAGTCAAAGCTGATGACCCAGCAGAGGAGGGGGTGAGGGCCAGGCCCGCCCTGGGGACAGTGGTTACGGGCATACGAGCACCTCTTTGGAGGCAGAAGGGCCGTGGGCCCTTGTAGGGCTTTGGCAGCATTGAAAAGATCCAGGGTGCATGGCCCCCACCTGCCGGCAGCAAAGACAGCCAGGCCCACGGTGAGGTTCTGCGTCCTGTAGTATCTCCGCAGGGCCTGCCTGTCGAAAGTGCCTTCCCAAACGACGGGGGCCAGCCAGCCGGTGGTCGTCACGACGTCAGGCCGTTTCCTGTGGACCCAACGAGAGGCAGGTGCAATGAGCGGTCCTGCGTTCGCTGTGGCGGCTGCAGAGGCTGCGGGCTCTACCAGCGAGCACTCGCCGCCGGTGCCCGGCGCCGTGTGAAAGGGTGTCACATTGCTCACCCAGTCCTGCTGGGCTGGCTGCCCTGGGCACTGTCACGGTCCTTGTTCTGCATGCAGGGAAACTGAGGCACGGAAGGATTGACTCGCAGATGCCAGAGTTGGTCCCTGCGAGTCTGCATGGGAGACCTGGCCAGTCTCTGCCTTCCTCACCACCCCACCTGCCCTCGGAGCCCAGGGCCCACCTTCTTCCAGCTCTGGCTGCCTCCACCGAAGCAGCACAGGCTGAGATCAGATTAGATTGGTGCCTGAGGCCAGCACTGCCCGCTGGCAGCTGCCGTCTCCCTCCCCTTTTCCTACCAGGTCTCAGGATGATTTTATTTGACCTCCCCCCTCATGCTTTAAGTCTGTCTTTGCAATGCAGCAGAAATGAACAGGCCACTCCAGAAAAAGAGGGAGACGTTCAGTTTGCTTTCAATAACAAAACAGTAGCAGGATTTCAGAGACACAAAGCAGGTTCAACCGTCAGAACCATCCCGTGCAACCCCCTGAGTGGGCCTCCTCCTGCTGTGCACCTGTCCTGACCGACATGGGAGAAAAGCAGCCTACAGTGTGCAACAGCCACTCGCAATCAACAAGACCACCTCTCAGAGACAGAGGAATGGCGGGGAACTAGCTCCCCGTGGTAAAGAGCAGCTACAGCATCCTGCAGCTGCAGTCCCACCCCGCTGAATGCTTCCTCCCCGGGATCAGGGACAAGCCAGCTGCCCGTTCTCTGCAGGGTGAGGAGGGCACCGTCCCGGCAACTCGGTGAGAGGAAGGAAGGAACAGGCATCCGATTGGAAAGGAAACTTGGACTCCTACTTTTGCAGATGACTGGAAGGCCACACAGAAAGTCCTCGGGACTGGGAAACACCCCGTCAGCCCAGTGCAGCTGCACCGTGTGTGGGGTGGGATGCAACACGTCGCCCTTACCTGGGGTGGAACCAGTCCGGGAGCCGGAGTTCTCCTGCTCGGTGCCTGCGTGCGAAGGGAAACCGAGTCAGCACGTAAACCACCGTGCGCAAGTATCTGCCCAGCCCCACGCCTGGCGGGCCACTCGGCACGGTTTCCACAGCTGAACACACAGCCCCACTGCTCCTGCCCTGGGGGTGCTCACACGGAGAAGCCGGAGTGCTCCCCAAGGCGGTGCTAACAGGGGACTGGGCTTCTGGGAGCATAAGTGGCTCGTCCAATGCAACTTTGGGGTCTAGGGAGCCGCTTGGAGAGTGAGAGCTGGCCTGTTCTGGGAGGGCCAGGCAGCCGGAGGGAGCACGCAGTCCAGAGGGCTGCAAACCCCTGGCAGCAGCCGGAGTGTGCATCCAGGCAGAGGCAGGTGTGATTCCCTTGTTCCTCACACATTTCAATACACGGTTCCCCTGGCATCTTAGTGCGCCTTTAAGTTAATTATTCAATCATCTCGCTCCTTAGCCACTCCCTCCCATAACCCTGGGGTATTTTGTAAGTGGGGGGGGCATCTGTTCTGACAGGATCAGAAATGTCCATGATCACAGATATGTCAACATTGGGTTCCCCAGGAGTTACCGTCAAAACCTGAATTGCTCAGGGACACACATCGCTAAAAATGTGAAGTGACGAAGGGAAGACTTACTAAAAAGTCACCCTCCATTTAGGGTGCTGGTGCTGTGAACTCTGGGGTCCCCCAGAAGCACTGCGGGGTAGACTCACGGTTGGAGGAGAGGGTCCTGACCTCAGGAGCCGTGGCCCACCAGAGAGATGTTAAACCGCAGCAGAGCCAGCCTGGTCCCGGCTAGGGGAGGCCAGCCAGACTGCAGCACGACTGCTCCACGCGCCGGCCACAGCTCCCCAGCCGTTCACACCACACCACCACCCACCACCGCCCACCACCGCCAGCCGGCCTCTCAGCCCAAACCACATTCTCACAGGTCCGGTGGCTTCCAAACGGAGCCCTCTGAGCAAGAGGTCAGCTGCCTCACAGGAAACCACTCCCACAGGTGCTGACCACAGAGCCTCAGACCCAGGGGCCCCCACTGCCCTCGGGGCTCTGCCCACAGACGCCCTCCCAGCTGCTCGTGACTTCGGCCAGATGGCAGCCCAGCCCCAGGTCCCCCAGGGGACCGTCCTTCGCTGAAATGGCCCAACGCTGCCCTCGTGTGTCCTGTCTCTTCCCTGCTGCACACACAGCATGCACAGCATACACGTGCTAACCTACTACGCGCACACACCGGTAGACAGTTTCTGGCCCACGGCAGGAAGCCCCCACCGGGTACCCCGGGACTCACGCCTTTGCCTTTCTGTCCCTCCTGTTCTGCCTCCCAGCCTGTGGGTGTGTGAGCACAGACCGGGCAGCAACACGCCTGTCCCTCGGGGGGATGGCCCTTTTGGGATTCAGACAAGCACCAAGCAGTGCCTCTGCCTGAGGCTGTCCCCGTGGTGCCAGGGGACCGCTGCCCGAGGATTCATTGTTTATTGGAAGCCTGTGGCACCTCAGCGTCCTGTAGCTTTATTTGCTAAATGTGTCCTCCCTGTCCGTAAATGACATTCTTTAAATGGAGACATGCTTACACTGTGGATTTGAACATAACCGATTGCGATTTGAATCACAAAAATCCTGGAAAACATTCAGATCCACCTATTTACTCACTTTTTTAAAAAAGGTTTTATTTATTTTTAGAGAGGGGAAGAGGGAGTGAAGGAGGAAAAGAGGGAGAGAAATATCCATGTGTGGTTGCCTCTCACATGCCCCCTACTGGGGACCTAGCCCCCAACCCAGGCATGTGCCCTGACTGGGAATCAAACCTGCAACCCTTTAGTTTGCAGGCCAGCACTCAACCCACTGAGCCACACCAGCCAGGGTTGTTCACTCACTTTTTAAGCAAATAACCATGAGCACCTACACGTGACAGGAGGAAGCTGCCGCGTGGGTGTGCATCCGAGCCCATCCGGGGGCCTGTGCGTGGCCCGCGGACCCCTCCCGGGGAGGAGAGCCGGTCTCCATCCTAAAGAGCTGATCTCAGTCCTCAGGTGGCATCCACGGGAAGAGACACAATGTGTCACACAGGGACCCAAGCCTGGGGTTGGTGTTCGCTTCTGTTATTTTGCATCGTTAATTGGTTTTACTTTATTTCCTTGTTTTTGTTTTTTTAAAAACGCTTTGCTGTTAGAGAAGTTTCCCAGGGAAAGGCTGTAGAGCTGCTCCCTGACACCCCCACGCCCGTCCCGCCATTGCCAACGACATGTCTGGCGCTTGTCCCAGTGACGCAGGCCCGGCTCCCGGCTTCTTCAGCCGTCCCCCCCAGAAGGGTCCTGGCTGGGACCCACGTGGCCCTTCGTGACCCGGGACCCCTCGGCACCTGGACTGCTCACTGGCACCCGGACGGTGCCTGGGGACGCACCGCTGAGTGTTCGAGGATGAAAGCACCTCTGTGCCACCCAGACAAGGTGACGTCCCATCAGTGTCAGGGGCGTCATTGGCGTCTTTGGGCAGAACCCAGTGGTGGGAGTGCGGTTCCCGGTCCACACGGCGACGGCCAGTCCCGGTTACCTGCGGCAGTGCTCTGCCACCAGCAGCGCCAGCAGCAGCCAGGCCAGCAGCAGCAGCTTCCTCCGGGGTCTCGTTCTCATCTGCAGGGAGAGGAGACAGATGTCCGGCTCAATCAGGAAGGCACCTCACCGCTGCCCCCTTCCAGCCAGGGGGCCAGTTGCAGACATCAGGGCCAGCCCCCGGACGCTTGGCCTTGGGGTCAGAAGCCCTGTTCTGGAAGCCCCTCACATGCAGCCCCGGAGCCAGAGAGACGCGGCCGCCCTGACTGGAGAGGCGCCGTGAGCCAATCAGACACCAGGCTTGAAGAAAACGGAGCGTAAATGTCTCTCTCTAATTTTATGTCGCTCGGTGCGAAACGACAGGGCCCGGGTCTACGGAACTAAACACGAACACGTTATAAAAACGAATTTGCCTGCTTTCTCTAACCCCCTGTAACGTGGCTGCCAGAAAACAGCGTGACGAAGGCAGCTCGTGTGGCGTCTCTGCTGGACAGTTTTTGGACATGGCCACCCGGCTGCCTGTCCTGCAGGGCTCTGGCCCCCCAATGTGACGTTGAAGAAATGCCACAGGGGTGGGTAGGACGAGCCCCTCTGGCAGCGTACCGCGGCAACGTCCGCCAGACTTCCCACATCCCTCCGACTGGTCCCTTCACCTCGGTCCCCGTGATGTGGGAGACACCCGAGGAGGTCCTGCGAGGGTGGAGGCTTCCACGTGTCTGTCCTTGGTGTCACTGCCCCGCTCCCGGGTGGCTGGGGCTTCTGGGGGGGTGACGTCAGCAGGCCCTTTGATGACACGAGCGTGGGGAAGCCAGTCACAATGCTGGCTGGCCAGCAGGGGCTTCTCCTGGCTGCAGATGACAGCCTTTGTGCCTTCGAATAATTAAAGGATGTTTGCGAGTGAGCTTTTCGTTTCCTCTGCTGTCCCCTCGCTCCCAGGAGGAGTCACATGGGGCTGTGACTCTGTGCCTGGAGGCAGGCGGGGGGCACCCTCTGTCTTCCTTCCCCAGACGAGGTCCAGTCCTGCTTTTCGGGTTTCTAAGCACTCCTCTCTCCGATTATAGAGATGACGCAGCCACGTGGGCCCCGTCGGTGTGTGAGGGCACAAGGAGCAGTGGCCACATGCGGTCCCTGTTCTGCAGAGGCCACCAGGATGTGAGCCTGCTCCTGAGGCTGGGTCAGGTCTGGACAGGTGGACACAGGATAGGCTTTTGAAGGGCAGGCTCTCTCTATGGCAATAACACCCGCGAGAAGCCATGGTCTCTCTCTGTTACCCTCCCACATTCAGCTCCTTTCATCAATGTCTGGGGACAGTTCTACACCACCAGTATCCACACATGCTCCCATCTACCCCTCTACCCACCGTCCATCTGTCCGTCCAGCCACCCACCCACCCACCCACCATCCACCCACCATCCACCTTCCATCCACCCACCATCCACCATCTACCCACCATCCATCCACAAACCAGGGACAGCAAAGCAGGACAAAGTGGAAGGCCAGGGGTTAGTGAGGAGGTGGGTGAGGCGGGTAGGTCCTCTTCACCATCATTACCCCTCCTCTGTCTGTCTCTCTGTCCGCATGGTACCTGCTGTCCTGCTGGAATGGGGCGTCGCTGTAACCCTGCACCTGGAGCACAGCAGGTGCTCAATAAGCAAGATAGAGACCAAGACACAGACCCTGCCTGGGTTTAAAATGGGGTTTTCTGTCCTGCTCAGCCCCCGACCTGACCACCAGCCCGCCTTGTGTCCAGACACGGCGTGGAGAGATGGGGGACTTCCCATCACAGCTCTGGGACCCCCATCGGGACGAGGAGAGGGAGCGGCACGGCCACCACTCATATGCCCTCATGTCTGTCTTCTTCCCCTTGTTTCTTAAACTCCAAATATCTCTCCTGTTCTGGCCCCACAGCCTGGGCCCCTTGCCCTCCGGAGGTGTCCCCTCCAGGACTCTGCGGAGTTCCCCCCAAAGTCACAGTCATGTCTTTGAGACCAGGGCGCCCCTTGCAGCATCCTGCACACGTGGCCACACAGAGTGCTGAAATGCACTCCCATGGCCGCTCCCAGGCCAGGTGGGCCAGAAGCGGCCAGACGGAGCCCTTGGGAGACTGGTTGGCCACCCAGAGAGGCCAGTGAGGCCCCAGTGTCACCCGCGGCCTCTATGGGGGGCAGGGGCTGGGGCCCAGGGCACCTGGCTGCCACCATCCCGCCTGTCCCACTTTCCCTACCACTGGATGCTCGGTCAAGCAGGTTGCAGGGTGAGCCCATTGCTGGCTGGACACTGTGAGCTCCGAGGGCGGCAGGCGGCCCTTGGCTGTGTTCCCATTGTGAGCAGGATGTGTGGGGAGGACCAGAAACCGCAGCGCAGGGGGCAAGAAGGGCCACCTCGGGTGAGGCGCCCGGCGGAGGGATGGCACCTCGGCTGCTGCTCTTGCTGATGCTGCTGAGCCGCGTCCCCGCCCAGGAGCTCAACCTGCGAGCCATCGTGCACGGGAACTACAATATGACCAAGGTGGGTCTGGGCACCGGACGCCTGTCCCCCTCCACCTGGGCTGGCTGCCCTGTGACGTGGGCCCTGGGGTGGGGGCCCGCCTCTCCTTCCCCAGCTGTGACGGCAGCCTGGAGGAAAGACGGGGTCCCCGGAGGGCAGAGGTCGGCCCGGGGGCCTGGCCCGGAGGTGCAGGGAGCCCCAGAGCCATCCTGCAGGCCCCCGCCCTCGGGTGCCCCTGTCCGCAGGTTTCAGGGTGTGGCATGCTATTTCCATGGCCTCGGACGACATGACTCGGATCGGAGAAAACGGGGACCTGAGGGTCTTCATCGAAAAAATCGAAAGCTTGAATGACGGTGGCCTGAAGTTCTCCTTCCACTTCATGTGAGTGCTGCCCAGGAGGTGGGGCGGGGAGGGGCCAGCTGACCGACCACCCACCGCCCCCTGCCCCCGCCCTGCCCCGCCCCATGTGCAGGCTGCTCGGGGACTGCGTGGAGGCAGCCGTGGTCTGCCAGAAGACCGACAAGAATGGGGAGCACAGCCTGGACTGTGAGTGGGCATCGTCCTTCAGCACCGGGCCGTTTCCCAGGGAGCTCTGATTTAGGGGACTTTAGGGGACCCTTGGGTGGCTTCTGCCCAAGCGAGAGGATCCGGCCTGGCATACGACCCCAGGGGCCTCACTGGCCCCCCGTTGTGAAGGCTCGTGGCTCTGCGCCCCAGGCAGGCGGGCACTGGAGGGGCCCACAGAAGACGGGGCCCTCTGAGTGGCACTGGGGGCTCAAGCTGCCCTCCTACAAGTCCTGGCTGGCCTGCCGTCCACCCCCTCGGCCCCACGGCCCCACAGCACCCGGGCACCCCGCTTGTGGATGCCAGGACGGTGCTGGGCAGGGCCGCGCTGAGCCGCGTCTCCCACAGACAAGGGGAGCGGCAGGGTCCTGCTCTGGGAGACCGACTACAGGCTGTACGTCACCTTCTACATCCGCAGTGTCAACAATGGCACCGTGACGCAAGTGCTGGCACTTTACGGTACCTCCACCTCCCGAGGCCTGTCTGCCTCCTGAGGCCCCTCCCTTGAAGACAGGCCCCACCCACTGGGGTCCCCCCACGCCCCAGGTTCCCACCTCCATTGTTCCCACAGACAAACCCCATCGTGTGGTGAGGGTCACGCCCCTCAGCCTCAGTGCTGCTGAGACCCCCTCCGGAGACCCTCTCTGCACAACATCGTCCCCAACAGCCCATGAGGGACCCCAGCCTGCTGTTCTGTCCTCAGGACGGTTTTCAGATCTGGGCCCCAGCTTCCTGGCCCGATTTGAAAAAATCTGCAAGAGATACGGAATTGGGCCACAGAACATCATCGACCTGACCAGCCAAGGTAGGGTCTGAGGCTTCCAGGGAGGAGCTATGACCCCCATAGCTCCTGGCCCCAGTGTGGGGAGCCCCAGGGTATGGGGAAGAGCAGACCCCGGCAAGGCCCACCTGAGCTGGCTCTGTCTCCCCAGATCCGTGCACCAGATACTAGAGATAGAGGAGACCCCGGCTACCGCGTTGGTGCGTGAGCTCCGCCGGGCGTGTGGGCGCTGTCCCGGGGCTGCTGGCACCAATGACCACACTCGGGGTGACTCAGAACAACGGTTCTGAACCTGGCATTGGGCGTCCCAGGGCCCCGCCCCTTCTGGAGTCTCTGGGGAGGGTCCTTCCTGCCTCTCACAGCTCCTAGTGGCTGCAGGCACCCCTGGCTTGGTGGCCCCACCCCTCTAGTCTCTGGTTCCATGGTGACACGCCTTCTCCTCTGTGTCCACGTTCCCCTCTTCTGTCTCCTACAAGGACCCTGTCACTGGATGGAGGCCTGGACAGTGTGGGAGGATCTCACCTCAAGAGCCTCACCTGAATCGCACCTGCAAAGGCCATTTCCAAATTAGCCCTCAGGCACAGCTGCCGATATTGGGGTTTGAACTTGGACACAATCTGGGGGCACCATGCTGATATGGTAGTGGCGAAGGGTGACAGGGGTCCCTCTGTGTCCGTCCTCATGACCTCATGGGAGCCTACGAGGATCTCAAAATACACGGTGAGCGAGGAAGTGTGTGTCCTTCCTTCAGAGCCTGCCCAGGACACGTGAACGGGCTCCTTCCCTATCGCCTCACCCGCCGAGCCCTATAGGGCGGCTCCTTGCCTCCCCGTCTCCCCCTGGGAACAGGGACCAAACCTCCCGCTCGTGCTCCTGGGCGCTGGGTGGGTGCCACAGCGCAGGGCGAGGAGGGGGCCCCACTGGTGCTGGGCACCCCCCGTCTGAGGGGCGGCCTCCCTCCTCAGGTGAGCACGGCCTGAGACCCTCCCCACGCCCCGCTGGCCCAGAAATCCCCAGGAACAGGACATGGTCCGGACAGTCATGGCTGGGGTCAGCCCCAAATTCCAGGGGATCCCCCATCACGATTCACACTCTAGGGTGCTGGGAGAGCGCACCCCGCCCAGCCCCGGGGTCTGCTTGTCATAGCTGAGTCTGGCTGCCACAGGACCGGGGCTGCAGGCACCAGTCCTCTTCCAGGCTGGGGTGAGGGGTGGAGAGCTCTCTTCCAAGGTGCCAGACTCCCAGACAGAGCAGCTTCCTGTGGGCGGGTGGTGAGCTGGGGCGGGTGGTGATCAAGGTTCCGGACAGGCGACTCCCTCTCCGGAACCTTGGTCCTGCCTGCTGGGCTGTGGCAGGGGACGCGTCGGCCGCTGCCCACTCGGCCGTGGCCTGCTGTTGCAGGCAGCTGGCATTTGGTAGGTCTGCCCAGAAGGACACTAGGAGGTGGCTGCTGGCAGTGTGTGAGGGCACCCTGGGACCACGGAGCTGCGTCGCCCCTGCCTGTGGAGAGGGTCCCCAGAGGCTGACCCCAGATCCGTGGGGCCCCAGGCTCTGGCTGTGTGAGCCCGGCTGTGGCGCACGGTGTGGGGCCGGGGCCGTCCTGTGGGCTCCTGCGGCCCAACCCGACCCGCACGGATGGGAAACAGTGCTGTGGGCAGGGGGCCGGGCTGCAGGGTCCAGGGCAGAGCAGACTCCGGTGGGGCGTGAGGGCGCCACGGAGACAACACTGGGGCAGCGGAGGTCACACCTCGGTGAACGACTCCGACGAGAGCGGAGAGCGTGCACCTTCCAGAGCGAGCAGGCCAGGCCAGGACAAGGAGTGGAAGAGACCCCGGTCACCGCAGGGGCCAGAGGCGCGGACACCGGCGAGTTCCCCTCGCTGCCCGAACTCGCCCCCCAGCTACAACTGAAGACGAGTTTCTTTCCAGTGACAGAGGACGCAGCACACCCCGCCCGCCAGTTCTTCGATCAAAGCACATGAGGGGACAGGCTGTGGGGTTCCCGGCTGCGGGCAGCCCGCTGCCACTGGGGGGGCTCTGGCGCGGATGCCGGCAGCATTTTTGGAGGCTACGTCGGCAGGGGTGGGGGCTCGGAGGTACTGAATTTCCTGGCTGACCTAGGGAGGGGCTGCGCCGGGGCCCTGGGCCCCCACCTTGGTGGCATGGATTCCGGACGGGCCAGTCTCCGGCAGTCCAGCCAGAGTGTGGGAAGCCCCGCTGGGCAACAGGGGGAGATGCCTGGAGGCAGCCCTGTGAGCGACCGGTTTCCTTCCAGGAGGCGTGTCCTTCTCTCTTGGCCGTGGTGACAGAGGGCAGGAGGACGGTCCCCCAGTGTGTTTTATCTGGAACACTGACATGGGGGAGGACCCACTGGTGGACACTTTCCCTTCTCTGCCAGGATGCCCGACGGACACAGGTTCTGCTTGGGGGGGGTCTGAGAGCAGAGGACGATCCAGGCTGGCCACCGTCTGCCCACCAGTCACGAGTCTCTTCCCTTTGGGCACAAAGCCCTGGATGGGGACAGCCCAGCGCTGCCCGAGAAGCTCAGGCCGGGTGCCTGTGGCCAATCCTGCTGCACCACGTCTGCCCAGGTGCTGGTTGCTAGGAAACGGCCAAAAAGGAGGGAAGCGTGGGCCTGGCCGCAGACCCCAGGGGCCCACAGGCACACTCAGGAGGAAGTGGGTCTCAGAACCAGGGGCGCCAGGAAAACGGGCCTCGCAAGGTCTCAAACCCACAGTGCGCAGCACGGGCCGGTTCTGTCCAGCTACACCAGGAGGGCGGCACTGAGGGCTGATCTGGGGGACGGGAGAGGGCTGGGCAAGGACATCCCATCCTGTACCGCGGTGCCACCGCAGGGCCTGCCACTGTCCCTGCACAAGGCAGGCAGTCAATCGGGTTCAAGGTCTGGGGTAGCTTGAGTGCACGTCCACACCCTGGGGGGCAGGTGCAGCCCTGCAGGCCCCTTAGAGCCTGGCCTTGGGCAGTGCGGCCCATGCACCTGCACCTGTGCACGCCCACCCCTGTGCACACCTGCACCCACCTGGCTCTGACATGGCCGAGTCCCTGTGTCTCCTCCCCTGCGGACTGTCCCTCCAGACCCTTTGCCCATTTTTCAGGTCGTGTTTGTTTCCCTTGCCGCATCTCCCGCTGCACGTCGGTTGCACCCCCTCCTCCGAGGGGCAGACACCGTCCAGTCCCCCGTCTCCGAGCTCCCATTCAGAAAAAACCCTCACTCTCCCGGGCCCCTGGCTCTCCAGCGCCTGCACCTCCCCTCCCGTCCCAGGCGTCTGCAGGGCTCTGCTGACTCTGCCACCAACCAGCTGCGTGACCTTGGTCATGTTTTCAAGATTTTATTTTTTATTTGTGTTTAGAGAGAGGGGAAGGGAGGGAGAAAAGGACAGAAAGAAACATCAGTGTGTGGTTGCCTCTCTCACACCCCCTACTGGGGACCTGGCTCGCACAGGGAATGGAACCGGTGACACTTTGGTCTGCGGGATGCCACCCAACCCACCGAGCCACACCAGCCAGGACATTGATCATGGCTCTTGGCCTCTCTGGCCTCGAGCTCCACACCTGCCATGTGGAGAAGCGCACCTGTACCACAAGGTTATCATCACAGGGAACGAAGGCGTGGACGCTACTCAGGGCACGTATCACCAGTGTTGGCTCAGGACTGTCCCCGCCATCATGATGGTGGAGAATGAGCCCCACCAGCCCACCCGTGGGTCTGCGCCCGCCTAGCCGTCACCAGCTCTTAGCGCCGACAAGGAGTCTGGCACACAAACACCTCAGTGACATTGTCCTGGCCACACCTGTGTGCTGAGCCAGGAGCAAGAACACATTCTGTCCTGCTTCAAGGTCAGGACATCAGGGCTGCACTCTGAGTCCAGGGTGGGCAGACTGACATTTCAAAGCCAGCGTCCTGTTGCTGGGATGGAGGGTGACCTTGGCTGTGCCCAGGGTGGGGGTGGGTGGAGTCGCTCTCTTGGAGGCAGGGACAGCCACGCCGTCAGGTCCATGTCAGTGAGCTCACAGGCACCACAGGCCCTTGAGCCCCAGGCCCATCGTCCCCTGTCTCTTGTTCCCTGAGCTCGATCTGCACTCCCTGAAGGCTGCTTTGTAAGAGGTGCTGAGCTCAACATTCTGGGGTCACCCCCAGGGTTACACAGTGGGGACCAGAGCTGGGACCTGAAGGGAAGACAGACAGACAGATGCAGGGACATTGCATAGAAGGTCCCTTAGAATGGGGGACGACCAGTGGTGGGGGCAGGGGCAGGATGGATTGTAGAGCCGAGGCCCTGGCACGGGATTGCCAGACTCAGCAAACAAAACCACAGGATTCCCACGGTGCCGGCCATGCTGTTCTAAGCGATTGCTTGTTGTCCGAAGTTGGAGCTCGCCAGGGTGGCCTGCCTGGGGTCAGGCAGCCCTGCCTGGGAAGACGGCCAGCGGGCACCCGGGTGAGCTACTTCCTGTGCCCACCCAGCCCAGGCTCCCAGCCAAGGACACGTGGACTCAGGAGCCCCTCTGGGGGGGCCAGCATGGACCCCTCACTCAGCACAATGAACTCCAGGGCAGAGGAAGCTCAGCATCCCGGGAGCGGCCACAAGGGCCTGGACGCAAGCACCGCATGATGCCGAGCTGGAAGTTCTCTGCCCTCTCCGCCCTGTGACAGGCTGGTCCCTGTTCATTCAGCTGCTTTCTGCTGGCAGCCAGGCTCCCTACTCTCGGGCATTTTTAAAGTCAGTGTTTTTGCAGTGGCCTCTTTCTGTCACTGTCACCAAGCCCACAGTGGATCAATGACAACTTGAAAGGGAATTATGAAAAGAATGTATTTATAAGAGCAGCAAAGACAGAAAAATACTTAGGAACAAACTTGACCCAGGAGGTGAAAGCCTCACCCCGAACTCTGTGCAGGCAATGCTGCCGGAGGGCATGAAAGACCCTGGGAGCGCGTCCATGCTCCCAGGCCGGAAGACATGGTGTCGCTGAGACGTCGGGACACCCAGAGCGACCAGCAGCACCAGCACTGTCCCAGGGGCACCCCATTATGTTTCTCCCAGACATGGCAGTGCACTCCTGAGATTCAGGTGGGTCTCGGGGACCCTGAATCGCCCAAACAACCTTGAGACAGAACGAGGCTAAGGACACTGACTTCCTGGCCTGCAGACTTGCCACAAAGCTGCACCATGACAGTCTGGCTGAGGTTGGACCTGTGGGCCCCAGAGTGGGACGGTGAGCGGGACAGACCTCCAGCACATCGATGACTTTCCTTGTGTATGTCGATGACCACTCCACGGGGGAAGGGCAGGCCTTCCGCTGGACATCCAATGGCAGAAGAATGAAGCTGGACTCATACCTGGCCCCATATACAAAGGTGAACGCAAAGTGGACCAATTGTGAAAGCTAAAACTACACAACTCTTCATAGAAAATGGAGAGAAGAGCGTTGAGATTTGGTGATGAATTCTTGGCTACAACACCAAAAGCAAAGACAAAATAGATCATCGGACTAGAGCGAAATCAGAAACTTTTCAGCATCAACAGACAAAAAATGGAACCTGTAGAATGGGAGAAAATGTTGGCAAATCCTGTATTTGATCATGGGTCAACATTCAGAATATCCGTACCAATAACTGTTATAGCTCAATAACAAAAAAGCATCAAAAATGGGCAAAGGGTTTCAGCAGATGTTTCTCCAAAGACATACAAACGGCTCATAATCCCGTGAACAGGTGCTCGACATCACTAACCATCAGGGAAACGCAAGTCAAAACCATAAGCTATGACCTCACACCCATTAGGATGGCTCTCCCCTAAACATACCCCCCCCCCAAGAAAACAAGCATTGCTGAGAATGCGGGACGTCGGAGCCCTGTTCCACCCGCTGCTGTCAGGGACGGGAGGTGGTGCGGCCGCTGTGGCTACAGTACCGAACGCAGAATTCCTACTTGACCCAGCGGTTCCACTTTGGGGTGTAAAGAACCGGAAGTCCCACGTTGACAACAGCTGAGGGTGGGAGCGGCCCAGTGTCCGTGCACAGGTGGGCGGGTCAAGCAGACGTGGCCGCACACACAGGGCAATAGCGTTGAGCTCTAGGAAGGAAGTCCTGACTCCTGTGACAACGTGGACGGGCCTGGAGGACATGTATCTACGGCCCCGCTCACACGTGGTCCCTGCGGGAGGCAGACCCACAGAGACAGGGAGTCCACAGTGGGGCCGGGGCCGGGATGGGGTGGGAGTGGGGTCTCACGGGGACCGAGCATCCCTGTGGGGAGTAGGGCCGTCCTAGAGAGGACGGTGGTGGCAGTTGCACAGCAGTGTGACTGTCCCTAATGCCACTGAGCTGTGCCCTGAGACGGGGTGGGGACGGTCACTGTTACATTGTGTTATGTATGTTTTATCACTATAAAAATAAATTAATTTAAAAAGTAACAGATGAATCTTACAAACACAATGTTGCACAAAAAAGCTAGACACAAAAGAATACGCCCTCTACGATCCCACTTTTATAAATTTCAGACACAAATGAAATGAAAGTATGGTGGTCAGAATGGAAATGAAGTGCTGAAATGTAAAGAAAAGCAAGAAGGTGCTCCTGGTAATTGAGGGTAAAGGTTATGTCTGGGGGGGGGGGGCTGTGAGGGAGGTAAAGGTCATCCGGGCCCACCGGTGACGCCGGGCCAGCCTCGACCTGACCACCAGGCCAGGTGCGGCCCGGCCCAGGCGTGGCCCCTGGCTTGGGCAGAGCTGTGCTATGTGCCCAGCTGCCCTGTGTTTTCGGTCCTGCCCTCGCACCCCTGAGCCCTGGGGAGGCTGGAAGGTAATGAAGCAAGTGGAACCTGTCAACGTATAACTCACAGCAAATGTCTGCAGTTGACCGAGGTCATCTGGGCCCTGGGACGAGGAAGGAGATGTCAGTTGGTGAGAGGCTGCTGACCCCAGGCCAGAGGCCCTGGGGGCTGGCCGTGGGGGGGCGGGGCCACAGCCTTTGTCCCTGAAAGTCAGCATAGCAGGAGCCCCTCAGTGAACTATGCTGCTGCCACCACCTGGGCCGTGGGTGGTGGTCCTTGCTGGGAAGTCTCTGAGGAAGAACCTTCTTCCGGGTAGAGCGCTCACCATCAGGTCCCCCCATGAGGAGGACACCATGGACAGACTCAGGCAACTGGGTGTCAGGGCTGCACCGTGCCTCTTCCGCAAAGGGGTCAGATGCCCACCCTCTTCTCAGGGGCCAGGACATAGAAGTGGCCAGGGCGAGGGCCTGCTCACGAACAAACAGGAAGCAGGCCGGCTGAGCCCCAGGAAGCCTCAGGCCAGAAGGAGGGGGAGGATGCAGGGGCGGGGAGCTCAGCCAGCACCACATCACTCCAACCCCTGCTTCCCTGGTCCCACGCCTCTGTCTCCTTTTGTCCCATGAGGATGTCCGTCACTGGATTCAGGGCCCACCCTAATCCAGCATGGCCCCATCTTCCCTAACTAGATCTGCAAAGACCCGTATACCGAATAAGGTCACACTCAGAGGTTCAGGGTAGACGTGAATTCTGGGGGACACCTCTCGGCCCACACCACAGGGAAATGGTGAGCACGCCCGTGGAGGCAGCAGGAAAGGCCAGCGTCCACAGCTCAGAAACTGTGCACCGGAGCCAAGGGTCCAGCAAGGGACTCTTGCCGTCACCAGCATGCAGCCCTCCCTGGGCCCTGCACCTGCTCTCGCTTCTGGAGTTGCAGGTGGCCTGGGACCCAGCCTGCGCCAGGTATGTGGGGAGAATGACCACGTGGGGGCCCCGCCCACCTCTGCCAGGTGCTTGGGGAAGTGGGAGGGAGATGGATTACCAGGGGGCCCAGAGACCCTGGGCATCAGGACCCCAAGAAGCGACGGTCCTGGAGGCACCAGAGGATCTTACAAGAACAGGCCCCTAAAAATGCTTTTCCCATTGAAATACAGAACCCGAGGCCCCGGACTGAGTGCTCACTCCCCGAGGGGGAGCGTCTTGAAATCCAGACCCCGTGTCCCTGGTCCCACCTCATTGATGACCCACTGCCCTGTTTCCATGGCAAGCGCCCCACCCCCACCATCTCTAGTTCTCGGTCCCAGGCGTCCCCGGGGCCACCTTGTAACTCCCACTGGCCGGTACAGTAACAGCACAGGAACTACCACGCAGAAGTCGAGGGGCCAGGGGCGTGGCGCCCTTGCCTTCCTCTGCCTTGGGACCAGCCAAGTTCGGAGTAGCCGGGTCTCAGGACTAAGAGCACCGAGGAGCTAGGCTGTCGGCCCCGCCCCCAGCCCCAGTGCGCATGTGCAACTGGAAATCGAGGTGCTTCCCGAACGCCAGCTGACAGCTGCCGCCGCAGAGGCTCACGGCTCTGCTGGATTTATTCCTGGTCACTCAGTCTTTTTTCACTGAATTGCACATAACATCCCCTGGAATTCATCCCTAATCACAGAGCTCACATACATAAATAGAAGCAGTGTGTGTGTGTGTGTGTGTGTGTGTGCGCAGATCCCGTGAACTCAGCAATCCGAATGATGAGTCTGCAGGCGACTCTGGGTCTTCTCCATACACAAGCCCTCGTCTGTGAACAGGTCAGGCTCACACTGCCCGGCGAATCTCTCTGCCTCTCACCTCCCGTGCGTCCCTTCCTGGAAGGACCAGGGACACCCTTGATGGCAGAGGGGACAGTGGGCACCTTGGTCTGGACCCTGGAAGGGAAGCTTCAGAGTCAGGTGGAGCACACACCCTTTGACTTCTGCAATGGTGTGAGTTTCCTTCGTGGACAGATGTTGAATTTTATTGGAGGCCTCGTCTGCAGCCATGGTGACGACTGTGGGATTTTCTCCCTGCTTATTGTGATGAAGCCTTTGATGGCTCCCAGCAGCTGAGCCAGCCTTGCATTTCCGGGTTAAACCCACCCAGTTGTGACATCTCCTCCTTCCTTCGCTGCTGGACTCCTGCCATCATGGTAGTCTGTCTTTCCTGTGACTGTCCTTCTCAGGCATGACCTCTGCGATGAGGACGGACAGTAGGCAAGGGTGCGAGTGACAGGAGAGACAGGGACTAGCCCCGAGGTCAGGGTGGGGGGAGGGCTGTCGGAGGCTGGCAGTGGGTGTTAGGGGTGGAAGAAGGTGGCTGGGGCTCGGGCAGCAGGGACAGGACGGTGCCCTGACCACAGCTGTGCCCTCGCCTGCTCCAGCTCACGGACCTCTGCTCCGTGGACCCAGGGCCGCTGGCTCCCAATGTCACTGGCCTCCAGTGACACAAAGATCCTAGGGGGTGAGGGGTACACAGGGCTGTCAATACACGTCACCCAGGGGCACCCTCAGAGCCTGTCACTCTGCCTCCACAGGAAGTATGTCTGGCACACAGGCCTGTCCCCTTCCCACCTCCCAGCCTCCTTCCCGGGCGTGAGGGCAAGGGGGGATGTTTCCAAACCGCCCTGGGGTCAGATGCCAGCTGGTGACACTGCTGGCCAGGTCCCCTGGAGCGGCCCTGCCTGGGGGGTGGGACACTGCAGGTCTGGACCACCCTACCTCAGAGTCCTCCTGCCCCACCGAGGGTCCCTGGAGAGGAAAAGTGGCAGGTGTTCACGGCAGGCCCTGGAGGGGGCCCCAGCCCCGAACCCCCCAGGGCACACTGGCTTCCGGATGAGGCGTGCACCTAGCGCTGACCTCTCCAGGGGAGGGCGAGGCTGCAGCTGAGGCCTCTGCCCTCCCCTGGTACCAGGTATGACCCTGAAAAAAACCCTGTGGAACAAGGCAGCCCCATCATGCATGCCAAGGGCAGGCCTGGGCATGGCTGCCCTGGGTCACCTCTATGCCGGGGTGTCTCACTGTGCTCAGGTGCCAGCTGGGCACCTGCTGGGGGCTGGCCTGTAATGGAGGAGAACCCAGCTTCCCGGGCAAGTGGGGCCATTCTCAGGGGTCCCTGCAGGGTGGGTGCTGGCACATGGGGGGTGCAGTGGGGCCTGGCTGGACAGGTGAGGGGCTGGGGAGGGTCTCCTCTCCCTAGGCACCTGGGCTGGGAGATGAGTGGGTGGGCGTGTCCCTGGTGGGAGGGGAGGGGCCCCACTACTGCCCCCTACCTGCCACCCACTCCTCACTGGTCCAGCATCTCAGCTTCAGGACCGAGTCTCTGTGGCCAGAGGGTTGCCAAGGACACCGAGCAGCTCTCCAAACGCCTCCACCAGCACAGACTCATGGTGGCCATGAGGAGCATGGAGCCAGGTGGACGTGGGGGACTGGCTGTCACCAAGGCCCAGCCAAAGGCACTGTCCCACCAGGATGTCCTAGCTGAGGGGCAGGTGAACCCAGAGAGGGTGTGGCCTGACAGTGTCTGGGGTCCTCCTGGGCCCTGTGTCCCTATGTCTTGCTTCTAGGCAGCCAGGCCTCCCTGGTGGGGCAGGGGCAGGGGGCAGGGAAACAGATCACCCAGAAGCTGGGGGGTGCTGAAGCCCCCACTCCAACCGGACTCCCAGAATAGGCCAGCAGCCCCCAGCATCCGGCTTTCTAAACCCGCCTCTGAGCGCTGAACTCCTAGCATTTGTAGCCAAGAGCTGTAATTTGCTTCACAAAGGGCCCCGGGAGAGGAGGGGGTGGGAAGAAAGCTGTTCTGAGCGCCCCCACAGCTCCTTTCAGCTCCAGCCCAGCAGCAGAGCCCCCCACCAGCCCTTTCTCCCCCAGCTCACCTGGAGGCTCCAGCTTCAGAGGAGTGGCCACCACTCCTGTCCCCCTCCACTGTCACCGCCCCCAGAAGGATGCCTGGCCCCACACCTAGGTGGGCCCTGCAGTTCCAGGGGGCAGAGGGTGCCACTCAGGGTCCTTCTAACACTGCCTCGGTGCCCCCCTGGTGGGCGGAGGCGGCACAGGTGAGTTCTACCTGCCCCCTGAGGCAGGATTTTCCTCACCGCCCATGGGGTGGGGGGTGTCCCATCTTCGGCCCTTTGGGGCCTCGGTCAGAGCTCTGAGCAAGCTGCAGTCCCAGCTCCCTGACCTTCTTTGTGGAGTGCTGGGGACAGGTCAGTGTGCAGGGGCACGAGCAGACCCCCAGGGCCGCCTGGCCAGAGACCCAGGGGCTTCGGCGTCAGGGCCCTGCACCCAACCCCACATGGGCGTGGCCCCGACAGCTCCCTAGTGTCCCCGGTCCCCTCCCAGGTCCCCTCCCAGCTCACGGGACCCAAACGCTCAGCACTGGGCCTGGAGCAGCTTTGCCTACTGCAGCCCTGGCCAGCCGGGTCACCCATGCTACGCACTCAGCCACCTTCCGCCCAGTTCACAGTGCCAGGCCCGAGTCAGGGGGCCTGGGGTGTCCCACGCACTGGGGAGGCACCAGCCTATATGGGGCACATGTATGTATGAGTCCACAGGAGTGCATGTTAGGCACACATGTGTTCAAGCACACGCGCGATCTTTCAGGTCACACCCTTCAAGTGAGTCTGTGGGAGTGGGCGGCAAGGGCGGCCTGACCTGAGCCAGGCCCAGCCCCTCAGGCTCCAGGGTTGGGACGTCTCTGGACACCGGCTGCCAGGCCCACGGAGGCCCTTCCAGAGTTAGGGCTGCTGCTCACGGGCCACAGCTCTGCCCAAGGGTCTTCCGGAAGCCCATGGGGATGTGGGGTCCTGCAGGGGTCCTGATGTGGGGTCTCTAGCAGTGAGAGCCACCCCAGGCACCCACCTGGACCCCTCCCCAGGTCCCTGCAGCCGCCCCCAGGGCAGGGTTTGTGACGACGGCCTCTGGGGCAGTGCCTCCTCCCACACTAGTCACTGCTCACCTTTGTCTGACTCACAGAGGGAATGAGTGGAATTTTCCGCTCTGAAAGTGGAGGGCATGTGGGCAGGGGGTGGGCTGCTCGGGCAAGGGGCTCTGAGGTCATCCTCTGTCCGGGAGCCCTGACCGGCCCGGGGGCCCCCGGAAGCCAGGACCCAGTGTCTACACATGTGGGAAGAGCAGGCGAGCCCCTGGCTGGCCTGTCTGGAGACCGGAGACCGGCCTTGTTGTGCCTGGAAGGCAGTGGGACACGGAACGGAGTGGGTCTGGCCAGACACAGGCTTGGGCCTCCCTCGCAATAACGCATCCCCCCGCCCTGATCCTGGGGGTCAGATGCAGCTGGGACTGCAGCCGTGCCCACGGGGGAGTGGGGGTTCGAAACTGAAGCCAGGTGGCCTCCTCCCCGTGCTCCCTTCCCTGTGCCTTCCCAGCACTCCTTGGGTTGAGAAGACCCTTTCCTTGGGCCACCCAGCCTGGAGAGAGGGAATCAGGGCCACCCTGATGGACCCTCTGGGACCCCAGACCCGTCTCACGGGCAGGAGGAAGGGGTCCCATGCCCACCTCTCTGGGGAGCAGGCGGGGACACAGAACACTCGGTTGTGGGGCCCCCCACCCAGAGCTCCAGGCTGGGTTATTCCGGGAGCCACGGGGCCAAGTCGGGGCAGGAACAAAAGCCCTGGGAGCGGAAGCCAAGCCGCCCGCACAGCGAATGGCGTTAATTACACCGGAGAAGTTTGCTTCCTCTGGGAACAGTTCTTCCCTTTAATGCTCAGCCTCGCTGTACCACAGCGCAGGTGCAGCCCGGGCCCACTGTAAAATGCCCCCCCAACCCCGCGCATGCGCCGCTCCCGAGGCCCGTCCCTGGCTGCCTAGTAGGCCAAGAAGTCGGGGAAGATGCTGTCCCCCTCATCCCGAAGGACCAGGCTGGTGCAGCCCAAGTCCCAGCCCCAAGTCTCCAGGGCGCAGTCAGGGAGCTCCTGGGAGCTGAGCTCAGGGTCTGCCAGGAAGCCCAGCTCCGTCCTGTCCAGTGGGTTGCTCCTGGCTGGGGCCTGAGCGAGGGCACTGCTGCCTCTGCCCTCCAGGGACCCTGGAAGTAGATATGACGCATGAGCAGAGCAGGCAGGTCCCTGGGGGCCGGAAGGTGGGTCAGTGTGCGGGAGACACCCGTCCCTGCCCATCTGCGCCCCCCGCACTCAGAAGCCCTTTGCTCATCCGTGGCATGGGGCCCTGAGGTGCCAGGACTGGGGTGGGGCTCACACCTGCCGGCCCTGCTCAGGACCGAGGAGGCTCCCCCCACCCCCCGGAGCCCTACAGATGCTCGGCCCATCACACGCCCAGGTGCCCTGGTGGGGACTCAGCCCAGACAGAGGCACTGAGAGCCAGCTCTGGCGCCACACTCAAGCTCGGAGAAACTTCCTCCCAGTGACACAGCAGCAAGGAGAAATGAGAGCTCGGAGACAGACACTGGGACCTGGGTGTCACACCGCAAGGGGGACCCAGCCGCACCTTCCCGCAACCCCTGCCCCGATGAAGGGAGCAGGGGGCCCAGACCAGCGTCCCCTACTCACCCAGCCACCAGTCAGGACTGGCAGTCGGCAGGAAGGACAGCCCATCTTCCGCGTCACACCCTGACACGTACCTGGACGGGCAGAGACCGGCCATGGTGATCCCAGGTAAACCTCGGCCTGGGTCCTCAAGGACGAGGTGTGGCCCTAAGAGGCAGCTTCAGGCTCCCACAGATCCACAGCTCCCCACTCTGGCCTGAGGCCCGGAGCGCACCTGGCTGTGGGTTCCCGCCCCGCTGCCCCAGCTCCCTCCCTGGGCCCAGGCAGTGCACCAAGCCCCAGCCCCTTCACTATCAGTCAACGCAGGACCATTAGAAAGATGAAAATGTTTTCAAAAACACTTGTTAGGAAGAGCAGAGTCTGCCTGGCCTGGGCCTTGGCGGTCGGTGCACACACGTGGTGAGGGAGTGAGGGGCAGGACCTTCCCAGGAGGGCAGGGTGGACGGTGCCCACAGGTGCATGCGCCGGCCAGGGACCCACCTGGTGCCCGGTGGCACAGCCTGGTCAGTGCCCTCGGCCAGGGGCCCAGCCTGGCCCAGGCAGCTCTGAGCCTCTTCGCTCACCAGCATGGAGGCTGGCTGCCGAGAGCAGGGAGGCCAGGCTGGGGGTGCCCTCGGGACCTTGGAGGGATTCTGGGCTGGGGTCCATGGTGCCAGGCCAGACAGCCCTATGGGAGAAGTGAGGTATGGGTCAGCCTTCCAGCCCGGGCAACGGTCCTCCCCTGAAGACCTCAGCCCCTCCCCACTGAGCCCCGATGGGACATGGGACAGGATGCGCAGAGGCAGACAATGACTAGGAGAAAGTGAATGCCCAACAGCGAGGCATCTGATACCTGGGGCCAGGAAGGCTTCCTGGAGGTGGTGCCCCCTTGACCTCTGGTCAACAGGGGCTCAGACCTGGAGAGCCTCACGCTGCTGCAAGGCCCCTCTTCCCCTCTCCACATGCCTGTAACCCCTGACCTGGGGCACCACGCTCAGCCCAGCTCCCCGCTGAGTGACCTTAGTGGCCTCATGCCCTGTGAGCAGGTCCTCGAGGTCCCTGGTGCCCCGGTCTGCTGACAGCCCCATCCAGGCGAGACCTGCCCCTCCTTGGTGGGCACACGGGGGAGTGGGAAGGCAGTACTGCCTCCTGTGGCTCTCGGGGACAACAGCACAGGCAAACATGTGCAGGCGGCTTAACTGCCATCACCAGCAGCCACAGTCCAGAGAGGGACAAACAAGCCGAGCAGGGGTCCAGCATGCGAGGCGCCCTGTGGGCTTGGCTGGGGGCGGTGTCAGGGAGCAAAGGGGAAGGGACAGCCTTGGGTCTATGACTCACACCTTGGCCTCAGTGCCACCAAGGAACAGGCAGAGAGAGCTGCTGCAGCACGGGGGCCGCTCTCAGGGAGCTGGACACAGCAGCGGCCACAGGGGCAAGGAGGGCGGAGCAAGTCCCTCTAGGGTCCTGCACTTCCTGGGGGCCTAGGACTATACTGGTACCCAGTCGTGCTCACCAGGGGGTGCTGCTGGCCTGTCCCGCACCTCGGCCCCCGCCGTGGGGGCCTTGCCCTGGTCTACGCCCGTGGTCACACGGCTTGGAGGGTCCTGCTGCCTGGGTGGGGCAGAGACAAAAGGGGCCCTGAGGGGCTTGCATCCGCAGCCCCCACGCACCCCGCCCGCAGGGGACACGGACATGGTCACGGGTGCTCCCTTCCCAGGGCCCGGTGTGCCTGTGGGGCTCTGACGCGCCAGGGCCAGCTTCAGAACGTCCTCCTGCCACTTGTGCCACCACACCTCCTCGGAGGGAGTGACAGCCTGAAATCAGAACACACACAGCAATCGGGCCCAGTCTCCAGGGAGCCCACAGGAAAAGCGGGCCGTGGTGCGTGGTCGGCCGCCCTGCCCGGGGACCCGGGGTCCTCAGGACTGGGGGCCGGGAGGGCGAAGGCCCAGCCTGCCCTGGGCCTCCTGGCAACGGGACTTTGACCCCATGCTGGCACCGTGGGTGGGGGACTTGAGGGCTGGAGGTGGAGGCCACAGTGCCGCTGACGCAGGAGGCGCGTCGGCTGCAGAGCCTGCGCCAGCATGGAGGTGCTGGAGAGGACGCAGCCCGTGCACACTCACAGCCTGCTGCTCCCCGCCGGGCACCGCGGGGCCTGCGAACTGCAGGAACTGCACCGACATCTCCAGGACGGAGGCCATGTCCTCCCGCCGGCCCTCGAACTGCGGCAGAAGAGCCCGAAGGCGCTCGCAGCTCGCCGAGATCCGCTTCCTGCTTCCAGACAAGTGACAAACGCCCATGAGCCTGCCTGGCCCTGGCCGGGAGAAAGGACTGCAGCCACCAGAGCCCCCTTGGGGCAGCTCTGGGGGCCACTCTGGTAGAAGGGCCACAGGCCAAGGCCACGGTCGGCTCTCTGAGCAGCACGAGTCCTACAGAGACTGAGGTCCTGGCACAGCCCCTGCCACAGCCAGCCCAGGCCTGGACCATCACTGCCCTGGGGTGTGGGGAGGGTGTGGGCGCCGGCAGAGTCCGGGGTCCAGAGGACCCAAACGCACACCCTCAAGAAGCCCAGGGCTTCAGGTCAAAGAGGGGGCTGCAGCAGTGGCTCCTGACCCCCATGGGTTTTCTTATCTACCTTGGGGATAGGCCAACTGTCCCCTTAGTGAACAGATGCCACGCGGCAGTCCAAGTTGCCCGAAGGTTGGTTGTGCCCACAAATCTGGCCTCCTCTACCACCCACTCCCACCCCACTCTTTTAGAAACCTGTCCACCCAGCACACCATCGGCACCCACCTGCGCTCCCTCTCGCTGAGCACGTTCCGAGGGAGGCAGGAGGTGGGACCCTCCACCACTGCGGGGGTCTTGACTGGGGCGCATCCCCCAGCGGGGTCCCTGCAGTGGAACTGGGCACCAGTCGGGGACGAGCTGCTGCTAAGAAGAGTCAACAGCACCAGGCTCCGTGAACCCCGAGAACCACCAGAGCCCAGATGCGGTCAAGGGTATCTTTGGCGGAAGGGGAGCGCATCTGCGGACGGGTGCAGGGCAGGGCTTGGGTGGCCCAGGAACACAGCCTGGGCCCCTCCTCCCTCCTCCGCCCTTCCCGCCTTTCCCACCCGGTTTGGGGTTGCGGGGGAGCTCTGCCCTGGGTGAGCCATGCTGGGTGGGTGACTGGGACTCCATCCATTAGAATTGGGCGGAGGTGCGTTGAGGGGGAGGGGAGGGGCGGGAAACCGCGAGCACCCCTGGGCAGAGGCCTTTCACCTCACCTCCTCTGGCGCCCTCAATCCCCAATTCCTCACCTGCAGCCCCCTGAGACGGGTACTTGGGGAACCCCAGCACTGGGCTGGGGACCTTGCGACGCCATGAGCACACAGCTGCGGAGGCAGTAACTAAGCCTGAGACCACCGCACACACGCCTGCGCGTCCGCCAGCCCCACCCACTCACGTGCACGCTACCCGCCCCCACGTGCTTCCCAGTCAGCCTGCACCTGGCCCGCTGCCCTCACGTGGCCCCTGCACACAGCCCTCTACCCCGGACCAGAGCAACCTGCGGGAAGCCAAGTGCTTCCCATGCAGAAGTTGCGGGAGAAGGGCGCCTGGGTGCCTGCACTCCGATCCCCCAGCGCTGCCCTCTCGCCCCACTTCCTGGGGGTCAGCCCAGCTCCCACTTGCGTGTGGTTTCCCCTCCTGGCCCATGGGTGCCGCTGGTGACAGCCTCGAGTTGGGCACTGGTTATTTGGAAGCATGAATTCTGACCTCAAGGAGTTCCCAGCCCGTGGAGGGAGGGGGCAGGAAGGGGGCATCCTCTGGGTGAAATGGTAACTTCCAGGACACAGCTGGGCAGCAAGCCAAATTGGAGTCCACCGGGAGCCCCGGCCAGCCCTGCACTGGCACGTGGGCCTGGTGTCCAGGGGCCCAGAGGTGGGCACGTGGGAGGTCTTCGGGGAAAGGAATTGGTCTTAACTAATGGGAGGGGGAGATGAAGGTTTCCAGAACCTTGTAGGGCAGGTGGAAGGGAGTGGGGAGGCTGGTCTGATAACTGTTTGACCAAGCTCTATGGGACACAAGGGCCAGTTTAGGACGGACTCTGCCTCATCCCCGCCCGGCCCGACGCCAGCGCGATTCCCGGAGAGACCGGCAGGGGGCGCGCCCGACCAGGCGCCGCAACCCCGACCCCGGAACTCGCTCTCCCCCACCCCTTAATCCGAGAGAGAAAAGTGTTCTTTTTCGGGGCCAAGCGAGCAAAGAAGTCGCCTGTCGCTCCCGACTCACTTCTCCCTCGGCTCCGGGTCCGAGCCGCCGCCGGCCCGCATGCCGCTCCCGGACAGCGCGCGCAGCCCAGGGGGTATCCACAGGGGGGCGCGGGCGGGGGCGCGCGGCGGGGGCCACACCAACCGGACCTTCGTGTTCGATGACGGCCGATGCGCCCCCAGGTACAGTCGGCTGCGCCCTTCCCCGCGCGGAGGGTCCCCGGTCCAGGTTAGCGCCAGTCCCAGAGCCCTCCCACCCCCAGGACCCCTCATCCCCAAGATCCCCACTTCCAGGGCCAGGACCCGCGAGCGCCCTTCCTGACCACCCTGGGGAACGGGCGCCCCTCAGGACCGGCCCGGGCGAGGCGGCGGGCACTTACATCTGACCAGCAGGTGCCCCGGCAGCGTCCGTCCATTTGCGTCCTTAACGCGAAGGTGGCCGGAGCGCGGCCATGTTTGCATGCGGGGCTGAGCGTCTCCGTGGTGTGGGCAGGTGTGGCCCCGGGGGCCGGAGCGGTGCTGCGCCCGTAGGCCTCCCCGCCCCTTCGGCAGAGCCTGGGAGGGCCATCTGGGGTGCTGCCGCGTGTGGACGACAGGGCTGTGCGCGAGGGGCAAGGGGACCCCACATAGAAGTGGGTTTTCAAGGGCCTCTCTTCACAGGAGGAGCCCAGATTGAGGTGTGGGCATGCTCTCAGGGAGGGAAGGGCAGGGGCCCTGGTCTCCAGCTGCTGACCTTCATCCGCTGACTTCCCTTTCCCGGGGTTCCATTTGCTCGACTGTCTGTCGTGTGAGGAGCAGGGCAACTGGCAAGGGCTTCGGGTGGCCTGGGAGACGGGGAGCTCGGCCCTCCCTCCCTGTCAGTGTCCTGGGATGTCACCGGGACCCTGCCCATCCAGGCTACAGGCCCAGAGAGCACAGCACTCTGGAGGGTTCTGGAAGAGGAGTGACAGTCCCGGCGGGGGTTGCCTCTCTCCCTGTCCCACCAGCCCCAGAGGACAGACTCACGAGTCTGCCCCTCATCTTGTGCCAGGACCCAGACTCGAGGTGACCCACAGCCCGCACCTGCCTGTGTGACCATCCCCAGCTGGGCAGAGCCCCGTCCTCTGCGCCCTGCACCATCAGGCTGTTCTGAGGCTGGAGGGTGCACAAGGGGACCCAAAAGGCGGGCAGCCTGGGCCTGAGGCCCGGTGGTGCCACCAACCCCTCTCCTGCAGGACTCAGCCTCCTGGATGGAAAGTGAGGGGCGGGGCGGCTGGTCTCTGAGGGTCATCTATGGCGGGGACCAGGCTGGGCAGGGGAGTTGCCAGTCATGTGTCAAGGGTCAGGGTGGCCCCTCTGCAGGACGGCAGTGGCCTGGCCCCGGTGGGGGCACTGGGGGTACAGCTGGGGGGAGGAGCGTGTGCCCGAGAACTGGCTGTCCCTGTGGTGTCCTTGGGAAGAAGAGCTGAGGAACCCTGTGAGGTGAGTGTGGCCTGGACCTCGCCCGGGGCCACTCTGAGGGGCCAGCCAGGTCACCTCGGTCAGGCATGGCGTGGTCCCGGGAGTGCTCTTGCGAATTCTGTGGTCTTTGTAGTCCGGCTGCCCTTCTGCCCGTCTCCCTCCTCCGCGCCAGGTGTCGCCTTTCCTGGTGACCCATCTCCCAGTTCACCTGCCCGGCTTGACCGCCTGGTCCACTTGAGACTTGAGCTCTGTGTCCTCAGGGTCTGGGCCTGATGGGCTCAGTCCCCTCAGACACCTCCCTCTCCTCCTGGCACCAGTGGGGACAGCCCCTCCCCCTCCCAGGTCAGAGCCGGCCTCTGTCGCTGCACACACCCACTGCCGGGCGGTGGGCTGGTGCGGAGGCAGTGCCGGGGCCATGGGGATGGCAGGCAGGCCAGGCCAGGACCCCCTCCCCCTGAAGGGCCGGCTGGGCGAGGATTCCACCCCCAACCTCCCAGGTAAGGCCAGGTGGCTCAGGGAATGTGGTTTCAGCTAGAGAGGGAAGACCCTTCTTGGCGAAGTGGGGGTCCAGGTGGGGGGAGCCCTTTGGGGCGGCCTCCTGCTCCGGGCCTCACAGCGGGGTCAATCTTGGCATCCAGTGGTCTGGTCTCAGGCAGGCCTCTGTCCTGGAAGGTGGTGGATGGTGTTAGCCATCGTGTGGTGGTTCCAGTGGGGGGGGGGGGGCGCCACTTCACCCCGAGTGTCTGCTTTGGCCACTGGGGGGCTGTGAAGCCAGGCAGTGGGGGCCCCGGGAGGCTTGGCCCAGGGCTTGGCTTCAGTCTGGACCTCATGCCTTCCCACTATATGTGGGGCTCCAGGCCCCAGCCACCCCAACGGTCAGTGGGCACACCCCTTGCCACCGCCAGGTCCAGAGACCTCTGCCTGGCGGTGACAGCCGTTGTCTGGGAAGAAGACAATGTGGGGGCAGACCTCAGCGTCCCAGGGCCCACCGAGCTGCCTCCTGCCCGGCGCCTTCCCATCAGAAACCCCTGGCCTGGCCTTTCCCCAAACTCGGTTCCCAGCACCCCTGCCCTCCAGGCCAGTGTGGGACCCTCTGGACCCTGAGGGCAGAGGGCACAGACACGAACTGGCGTCCTGCCAGGGTACATGCCTGGGAGGTCCCCGCTGGCCCTCCAGGCCCATATTAGGGAGCAGTGCCTACAGGGCAGCAGGAAGTGGCCGGGCCCCATGGGAAAGGTTCTCGGCTGCAGGCTCCTTGGTCGGGGGACTGGAGGGAGCGCAGGGCTCTGCCTTCATCCAGAGGTGCCCCCAGCAGCAGCTCAGGGGGGTGGTGAGGTGAGTGAGAAGAGGTCATGGTGAGGGGGTACCGGCCCAGAGCTCTGCTTCCATCCAAGGGGGGTCCTTGGGTGTCAGCTGCGTCCTCTGGCCCAGGTCCACCGCCGCCTCTGAGTGCACTGGCCTGTCCACCGGCCACGTGGGTGTCTCAGCCTGTCAGTGCGTCAGGGGCCCGGAGTGACAGAGGCCCCCTCTCCTGGGAGCATTTCCCCTGAGGTTTCTCCTCCCGCCTCCCCGCCCCAACCTGCAGCCTGCGCCCCTGGCGTGCTGCCCTCGGGGACACCTGCCTCTGTGCTGGCTTCCACGAGAGCCAGGGCTCCTCTGTGCCAGCAGGTCCTCTGTGGACAGACCTACGTGGGTGGGGAGTGGTGATGGGCAGGGAATGCACACACCCCGTGTCCGTGGGCCTTGGCCCCCAAACACACGTGGCTGGGTAGGCACAGCTGTGCACACGCCCTTTCTCCGTGGGAGACCTGGAGCCGGGGGCTGCCCCTGCCTGGCGGGGGGTGGGGAGCAGTGCGCATGGCCCCCGGTGGAGCCCCAAGGCGGGTGTGGCTGGGAACAGCACCCGTGGACACGGGCGTGGTTACGGGTGTCCCGGGAGCCCTCCAGGCTGAGACCGTGTGGGGGGCACCCGTGTTCACCCCCAACCTCTTCTTCCTGTGGAGTTTGAGAGTGGGCCGGGCCTGGCCCCGGAGGTGGGGCTCGTACTAGACCCTGGAGGACACAGGTGGGAGAGGGGGCCTGGCAAGGCCTCTCCCAAGGGGGCCACTCGTGGTCGGGACCTCCCACTGGGGTTCCTTGCAGCCAGCCCATCCTGTGTGGGGCAGCGAAGCCCTGAGCAGTAGGGCGTGGTGACCACCCCAAGGTGGCAGCCTCCCTGAGGCTTGCCCAGCACCGGCCCTTGCTGGCTGACCATACTGTCATGCACGATGACAGTGAGACAGCCAGGGGCTCCACACGAGGACCTTGCTGGCACCGGTCTCTCAGCCAGCTGCCTCCTCCCCGGAAGGGCAGCCGTGGCATCGCCTCCGGGCCCGTGGAGGCTCCAGGAGGAAGGAGCTGCAGCCGGGACCTACCTGGCGCCTGTGGCCGTGGGCGAGCCCTGCAGGGGCTCTCCATGCGGGCAGGTGCAGGACCCTCCTGTTGGCGCCCCCCTGCCCACAGGCCCCTGTCATGCTCACAGGGGACAGGGCTTGAATACGGCACGGAGTCAGGCTCGTACTGGGCAGGAAGCCAGGCCCGGCTCTGGGCAGCATCCGCACTGACTGCACAGGAGGAAGTGGGTGTGGCCACATGTGGTCACAGCTCTCAGGGCGGGCAGCTGGGGACCCGAGGTGACCCGGGGGGCTGAGTGGATCTGGCTCTTCCCTGCACAGCCTTGGGCCCCTGACCCTCCGACCCGTGTGTTGTGGGGGCGGCATGGCCCTGGGAGGGCAAAGGAACTCATTGCAGAGCCAGGCTGGTCCCCATTCCCCTGATCGCCTGGTGGGCACTCCGGCCACAGCTGAGGGTCCACAGCAGCTGCAGTGGCCCCAGACAAGCCCTGGCCGGGGCCCCAGAGGGGCCAGCAGCCTGGCGGGGAGCCCTTGCGGGGCCATCTGGGCGCTGTGGCCATGGCCTGGACCCCAGGGAGATGGTGCTGTGCCCTGCTCCAAACCCTCTCCCTCCACAGGAGCCCCCCACCTTGGGGACGGAGTGCCTATCTGAGGCGGAGATGGCAGTCCTCGGGTCACGGAACGCAGCAGCTTCTGCCCTTCAGCAGGGCCAGGCCTCCTGTGAATGGGACAGCGTTCCTTCCCCAGGGGCAACCCCCAGGCCCTGCTGTGGCAGAGCAAACTCCATGCCCTCCACTCCGGCAGGCTCTCGGGGAGCTCCCCAGAACATGGGCCCCAGCTCTGGGGTCAGCACCACCCCAGCAGCTCAGCTCCAGCCTGGGTTTGGTCACCAGGCACCTCTGAGCGAGTGAGCACCCTGTGTCTGGCCAGAGGGGTGGCCACTCAGGCAGCTTCAGCCAGAGGACAGGGTGCAGCCAGAAGACGGGGTGCTCCTGGGCACCCCGGGGTTGCGGGCTGGGCCCTGTGATCTGGACGTGAACCTACCACCTGCCACTGAGTGACCCGGGCACACCGCTCCCTTCTCAGGCTGGCTTACAGGGGCAGGGGTGGGGTCAGGCCCGAGGGCTTAAGGATGGTCCAGGAAGATGACAAGGCTCCACAGCACCACCAGCCCTTCCCTGCCCACCGGGCTTGCCTGGTGTGTGCGGAAGCCGCTAGAAGCATCGGTTT